AGAATTCTTTGGCAATATACTGTGTTAACAGTTTAATCCTTGTCGAGACCCGGTTAACCTCGAGACAATTTCATGAATAGTTCCAGCATAAGTATGCTATGATAACAAAGCTCGACCACTAGAAAAAAAGGTGGATACCCATTGGGAACACCAAACTTCAAAGGGTTAAGGTCGTTAAGTTACGTACATCTTACAAAGGTATCTACTATATGTTTTTTGAATACGTTAATTTGTAATGTTTATCTGAATGTGAAAATTATGTGAAAATGTGACCAATGAAAAAGTCACCAATGAAGAAGTACTGCGGAGGATGAACACAACCGCGGATTTGGTCAACATTGTGAAGAGCCGTAAGCTGGAGTACTTGGACATATTATGAGAAATCAAGGCAGATACGAGCTACTCCAATGCATTTTGCAGGGTAAAATTGAAGGAAAAAGAGCCCCAGGACGAATAAGAATATCCTGGCTTGCTAACCTGAGAGCATGGTATAGAAAGACCCCAACACAGCTATTTCGGTATAGCAATCAACAAAATCATCATAGCCAGAATGATCGCCAACGTTCGGAACGGACAGGCACCCTGAGAAGAAGAAGAAATGTGATTATTTACTTATAAGTAGTAAAATGATACACAATACGTATAAATATGAGAATAAGAATAGAATAAATACCTTTAAGAAAAATATTTTATCTAAACTCATAAATAGTTATTAAGTGACTCGTTTATAAAACGCCAAAAATATATTTGTTTATTAATACTTTACTTTTCAAAACTTCTATAAGTTGGATTCAAGTTGTATTATAATGTGATTTCCTTTTAGTTTTTTGTCACTTTTGTTTGTATGAGGTTTTTTTCCTTATTAATATTTTTCCTATTTAATTATCACTTTAATATGATGATAATAATACAACTTTAAATCATTCAAGTCTGTCTTTAGTTTATGATAGTAAATGTGAATTTTCTTCTATTTCTATTATAATTATTAGTTCTTCAGACTTAAGATCGTTACGGTCCTGCAAGACCAATTATTTCTTCCTTTCGTTACGCTATCTTTTTTTGTTTTAGCACCGGAGAACTATATTGGTAAGTTGCCCCTATCTACTTCCTTTATTCTTTAGATTCATCGGTAAGTTCTTTTTATTCACCTATCCTTTCTACTTTCTATTCTAATGTATATAGTTAAAAGTCATCACAGCAAGGACATCAAACAAGGATGTATTGTGTTTAATACATACAAAAATGATAATGTATACATACAATATGACAGTATGGAATAGGTAGAGCTATGTATTAAACGGTGAAAAATAAATCCTTAACATAAAATATCTGATGACAGTTGGCAGATAAAAGATTCAGATGTTTTAGAAAGATTTACCAAATATTACCACAGTAAAACTGTAAGACGAGGAATAATCGATGACCTCAATAAACCTGATAAAAGGTGAACACGGAAAATCCTAGAACGGATACCAAGGGGGACGGCGAAAAGCATAGAAAGACCTCAGAAGAGATGGGTAGATAATATAAAAGCAGTGGCTGATGAACAGTGGATTATATTGGCGCAAGATAGAGAAAGATGGAAGCAATTTGGAGAGACCTACAATCAAAATAGTTGAAAAATGGTTGACGAAGAGAAGCGAATAGAGCAGTAAATCTGTAATAGGAGAAATAATTGTTGACCGCAGATGAAGAAAGATATCTCCAAGATGTTCTACAGATCTGTATCTAATTTAGTTGTACTTGACATAAAGGAGATAACAACTACAGGATATAAATTCTCTAGACTTCAGTTGGAGAAGAGGACGAAATATCTTTATACCTATATTTTAAAACAACCATATCTTAAATAATCCACACGCTTAATGGAACTTATAAAAATATAATAAAATCTTCCTAACCTAAAAACTCTAAACTTAACGAAAAAATAAAGCTTTAAAAATAATGTAATTATTGAGATTTACCAAAGAGAAAACAAAACAAAAAAAGAAAACAAATTAAAGATCAAGGCTTCCTTCTAAAATATTGACAACTAATTGCATGATCATCTCTTTATCTAATGATGGTTTATCTACTGCTGTATTACTCCAAATAGTGATCTGGTGCTAACTCCATACCATTTACATAATTTTTTTAACCACGACGTTTTTGTTCTACATTGATAATTAAAGCAAACATTTATAAATTGAATTTGGTACTCACTTCAGTTTTTACTATTTAACATCAACTTTTTTTCACCACTGTTAATTCCTACAATATCCAATAATGGCTGCCAATCAACTCCATTGACAAATACTTATATTTGTAAGACATTTCACTTTCAGAAATTTTCAGCGTTTATTAAACAATAACGGCGAAACTATACGACCATGTCGCACTCCTTTCAAAATACTTATCTTTTCCGATTGTCTTTTGGAAACACGAAGGCATTTTAGTTTACATTCAAAGTAGGAATGTTTTAGGAGTAGGAGTATTTCTTTCGTCAAATTACAACTTTTAAGAAGTTCCCTAAGCTTCTGATGATGTACCGCGTAAAATAAATTATCATATTCGATGTAGTAGTCCTTTCAGATCTTCAGAGATCACTTTAATTAACTCTCTTTAGATTTATTTCTCTTTTCAGAATGAAATTAAAATATAAATCCATCTAAATTGTTTTTATATCACCTTTGTTGCTGTTTTTTACTAACTATTGGTACATATATGTATTCACAGGCCAAACAAAATTAAAAGAAGAGCTGAAATAAAAAATCTTTCTTATAAGTAACCTTTCTTAACTAAAAGCCACAGCATGCTTTTAAGAAAGTACCCTTTACTTTTTTTGTACATGTACATTTGCATCCTCATATTGTCATTATTATTACATTATAAATTAAACTATCAATGTTATATTCACCGTTTTTATAACCACCATCAACATTTTTGTCAAGCATTGAATACTGATCCATTAATAAGCACTAAAGCTTACCAATACCTGTGTTGTACTTTTTTATTATGTTAGTTGTGATACTCTGATACTCACTCTTGTCTATCTAATTTTATACTCTTCATCGATATACCTCTTGTCATGGTTTCCATTCCAGAATCTTCTTGGTGATTTACCGTCATAGTGTAATTTTGATAAAGCAATCTACATCTTTCCGATAATCTTTTCACTGAGTTTTGAATAAATCTTAGTACACTTTTTCAATATATTAAATATTTCTGCACCATATGTTAAGAGCAGGTGAGACTTTTACTCTGTATTTTGACATTCCGAGGTGGAAAACGAAATGTTAAATACATCGTACTATCAATTAAAATTGCAGGTTATTCTGTAACTTTAAACATATATAAATATGAAAAAGAAGCTGATATATCTGTTTTTTGAATTAGTTATGTCATTCTTTCTACATTATCGTGGTTATAGCTGCCACTGGGACGATGTCTCTTCTTGTTAGATTGCTTTAATGACTATTTTCTTCTCTCACTTTTCTCAAAATCACCGCATGCTTTCATCATAACCACATATTTACAAAATAAAAAATTTTTGCATGTTCATTTTTCATCCATTGGGCGAAAACATAAAGTAACACACGGCCCTACTGTTTATTTTGCTTCTATTCCACTTTTATTTTTGCGCATAATTTTTATCCAAGAACTGAAGAGGTTTTGAGTTGTAATACTGTTAACGTCCCTTTCGCTTTTTGCAGTCAACTTACTGATTTTTTTCGAATAATATTAAAATATTCAAAACTTATCGCTTTATATGCTTTACATACATCATGGAGAATTTAACATATTTGTAAAATCATTTTTTGGGAACATTGAAATGATATTGATGTTAATTATTGGGACGATAAATTTTCGACATTGAAATTTTTATATCACTCATTTTGTTCAGGAGTTCATACTAATAAATATGTATAACACTTTAATTTTGTATTAGGTATGTTGATGCAGATGATCTTCAACCCCGGAGGCAACCAAGGTCCCAACAAATCTGACGATCTAGACACTGCTCCCGTCCCAACATCCCCATGGGCCAACTTACTTTCAGTAGGTCTGAAAATCCTCACTGCAATATTGGGAGGTGGAAACACAGGAGGAGACGGTATCGACAAAGTAGATAATGGAAATTCTCCAATGCAGGTGAGTGATTGTTAAATAAATATAATGCATTCGCAACTAAAGGACCCATAAGGAAAAGAAGGAATGTCGGTTGTTTTTAAAAAATGTTCATGAGGAGCACATTTTTGATTTCATTAAACTAAATTTAACTAAAGTTAAAAGTCTTGAACCCAAAATCAAATTATTGATTGTTTTGACTTTCCAAATTTTCCTATTAGTCCAGGATATAACGGTTTTCTGCTCAGAATTCTTTTTATATGCATGTATTTGCTTTAAATTTTGACAGTAGATGTAAAATAGCTTAATAGCTGTTATGCCGATGTGTGCTTTTTCTCTGGGGGTGGTTACCACCTCAACTCAGGTTGGAAAAAGTTTATAAAAAAACATGGTAGTCACTAAAATAGAAAATGTTCTTTAGAATTTTTTCGAAAAGTCAATTTTTGGAGTATTGCGTGACTGAAATTTCACAAATTACACGCCAAAAAGCATGTTTTCAAACGGTTTTTCGCGAATTACTTCAAAAATTTAGATTTAATCGGGAAAACTATTTGGATATAAAATAAAGCTTTAAAAATAAAGGGACTCGTTCTTTATTATGACCGTAAACTTAATATTAACAAAGTTATATCTGTTTGAAAGTAGTCTTTTATTCATAGAATACAAAAATCGAAACGTATGATGTTGAATAACTAAAAAACAGTAAGTTTTTCATGGAAAACTTATAGAAACTTTTTTAAAGACCTTAAAAAACCTTGAAAGTTACCACTGGTAAAAGAGATTTGTGTGTTATAGCTAAAATAAAGTTCGCTAATATTTTTTGTGACGCAGAAAGTAACAAACCCACCCCTGCCAAAACCACTCTGGTTGAAGAAACTATTCATTGTTCATTTACAATTTACTTTATTTGTATACAAACATTACATTATGGAAGTTTAACTAGTTTAAAAGGTGTAGTTTTGAAAAAATCAGAATAAAGACACTGTTTTCGGAATTCCTCAAAAAATCCCGTTTTTTTCAAAATAACTCACCAACTAAGAAAGATACAGAAAAAATGCGATAATACAAAAAAACAGCTTTTTTTAATAAAAATTTTGAGTTTTCTTTATTTCTATACACGAAAAGTTAAATGAGAATATTTAAAGTTTGTATTCGGATGCGTTTAGCATTTTCAAGACCTTTCAGCGCAACCCTTTCTAAAAAAAAGAGCTTGAAAAAATTTAATATACACCACTTTGTAGTTTATTTTAAAATCTACATGGTGATGAATATTAAATTTTTTTAAAGCTCTTTAAAGCGCCGAAAGAGTTTGAAGATAGTGCTAAACGCATGCGAATACAACAATCATACTATCTTGGATAGTATGATTGTTGTATTCGCATAGTAACTTTCCAGTAATGGAAAGTCTATGGAAAAAAATTATAATCTTTAATAGAAAAAATCTGTGTTTCGGTATTCTAGCATTTCTCTGTTTATTTTTTAGTCGTTAAGTTATTTAAAAAAAGAGGATTTTTTGAGAAATTCCCAAAATAGTGTCTTCAATTTATACTCGGATTTTTTCAAATCTAAACATTCTAAACCAGATAAACTTCCAGAATATAATTTTTGTATAGATATGAAGTAAACTGTAAATGAACAATGAATAGTTTTAACTAGGGTGGTTTTGGCGGGAGTGAGCTTGTTACTTTCTGCCTCACAAAAAATATAAGCGGACTTTAAAAATATAAGGGTATCGGGACATGAAGGTCATAAGGGCAATGAAAAAGCAGATGAAATTGCCAAACAAGGCTGCTCAATGCCATACATTGGAACGGAACTCTTCTGCGGTGTTGCAAAGACAGTAACAAGAGCGGCTACAAGGACGTGCGTAGCGCACAAATCTCTGGAATGGTGGAGGAATTCACTAGGACAAAGACAGGCAAAACAGTTCATTAGAGAATAGTCGCCAAAATTTACGCCAGACCTAATTAGCATAAAAAGGAAAACAGTCAAAGCCATAGGAGGTCTTCTAACAGAGCATTCTAAGCTGAATAGGTACTTAAAGCTGATGGAAAAATCAGATGATGATCTATGCAGATTCTGTCACCTCGAAGAAAAAACAGCAGAGCACATTCTATATCAGTGTAACAGTCTGGCAAATCTGGCGGTTCTTTGCGTTATGAGAAGAAAATCCACCGGCAAATAGCTACATGGAAGGTACAGTCTCGAAGCTATTAGACTTTTTAAAAAGGGTCAGGCTAGAGAATTTTATCTAGGACTAGAGGACCACAATATATCTAAAAAGGTCGCAGTGGAATAGGCCAAAAGGCCACCTCTCTAAATCTGTGTAACTTAATTTTCATGCAAATCACTTTTACTACTAGCCATTTTAAAGTTATTTTTAAGAAGGAAAAGACAGTTAAGATTCGATTTCACGTATACTGCGTCTGTGTATCCACTTATACGTATTTCACCCTAAAAGGAATCTTCGGAGCGCCTATTCACAGACGCTCTGAACGTGAAAACAAATATTTTTTGTCGTAGTAGAAGCAATATTAATATCGCTTCGTATGGACGCAAATAGCGACATCTGATAATAAATCCGTAAACTAATTTTTCGAAACCAAATTCAGATTTCTGCTTTAAGCTGTGCCTTCTAAGTTGATAACGATGTAATAATATGAATAGCCGCTCCGAAGATCTCTTTTAGGGTGAAATACGTATAAAAGGATGTACATACGCACTATACGTGAAATCAAATCTTAACTGTCTTTTCCTTTTATTTCGATATACTCTTTATGAGTACTAGAAATCAATTCGCTAAGGATTTTTGCTTTCTTTCTTTATCAACGTCTGTTTTGCCTTGCAATTCTTAGAAGCCACAGATTAAAGCAGAAATCTGAATTTGGTTTCGAAAAATTAGTTTACGGATTTATTTTTAAGAACTTTAAAAAAGTGTGTATAGGTTTTCCATGAAAAACTTCATTTTTCCGTTATTCAACATTATATGTGTGGATTTTTGTATTCGATAAATAAAAGTCATATTTTCGAACAGCCATATAATTGTTAATATTAAGTTTACAGTAATAATAAAAAAACGAATCTCTTTGTTTTATAATTTTCATTTTATATCAAACAGTTTTTCTATTCAAATCTAAGTTTTGGAGTTATTCGCGAAAAACCGTTTAAAACATAGCTTTTTTGACATGTAATTTGACATTGGAGTAATAACTCAAAAAATATTGTTGTTTTGTGTAAAACTTAGAGGTCGCTGGTTAAATGAAATTAGAAATAATAATGAAGAAAAAATGCAATATCTTGACTGTAAATAAATTAGCGAAAAATAGCAACTATAATTGTGAATAAATTACGAGAATTAACGGGCTTTAGCTCATACCATGGACTTATAAATAAAGAACTCTCTGACTGCTAGGTGGTTCATGGGACAAGTGCATCCCATAAATCAACCCTATTGTAATGCGATTTGAATGGTGACATGATTTCCAAATAACAAACGAAAGCCAAATTCTTTAAACAAACTAAATGTGTTTAAGCCAGTTTAACCATAAGATTTTACTGAATAACAGGAAACAATATATTTTAAAGCAAAGTCGTTAGAATATACCATTAAATTAGAACATATTATAGTACAATAAAAGAAAGTAAAAAAAAAATGGAAAAATATGAAAATAAATACTACATATATATATATATATATATATATATATATATATATATATATTTATATATATATATATATATACATATATATATTGTGGCTAAACACCCCGTACGGGGTTACGCCGCTTACGCTCTCTAGATCTATTTTACGAGGTAGATCAGTCCTCATTTTCTTTATTTAATTTTTCTTGTTATTTTTCTCCACTGTTTCCTATCTCTGGTTTTTTCTCTCCATTGTCGTACGCCCGCCCTGTTGAGATCGTTTGTTACTTCTTGTAGCCATGTAGATCTTGGTCTTCCACGTCTTCGTTTACCAGCTGGTGTCCATTCCAATATTGAGAATATTGTCGTAGATGATCCTGATCTCCATATATGTCCTAGCCATTTTGCCCTTTGCTGTTTTATTTTACAAACTATATCCTCTTTAATTTCGTTTAGTAGTTCATGATTCGTTCTTTGTCTATATTGGTTTTCATTAATTTTTATTGGTCCTAATATTGCTCTTAGTATTTTCCTTTCTAGTATTCTAAGGTCTTCCTCTTGTTTTTTTGTCATGCTAAGGGTTTCGGCAGCATATATCATAGTCGGTCGAATTATTGTTTTATATATTTTCATTTTCGATTTTTTGCTCAGTAATTTATTTTTTAGAAGCTTTTTATTTGCATAGTATGTCTTATTTGCTGTAATTATCCTTTCTTAAATTTCTGTTTCTCTTTCTCCATTGTTTGCTAATAATATTCCCAAATACTTAAACTTTTCTACTTCTTCAAATATATATTCTCCCAGTCTAACCTTTTTGTTTTCATATTTTTTGTCAAATCTCATTATTTTTGTTTTTTCTTGATTTATTACTAATCCCATTACTTTCCCTTCTGCTACCAATTCTTTTAACATACTTTCCATTTTTTTTCTGTTCTTTGTTATTATCACAATATCGTCGGCATATGCTATTATTTGTCCCTCTCTCGTTCTAAGTGTACCTTTGTTGATTTTTCTGACTATATATTCCAGGGCAAGATTAAACAGAGTTGCAGATAATGAATCTCCTTGACGTACACCTTTATTTATAACAAATTCTTCTGTGTCTCCTTCTTGTGTTTTTACAGTTACTACGGTTTTGCTCATTGTCATTTTTATTAATCGTCTTAATTTGTTGTGTATTCTCATTTCTCTCATAGCTGTAAGTAATTTCGCTCTGTTTATTGAATCAAATGCTTGTTGGAAGTCTATAAAAAGCAGTTCAATTTCTATTTTATATCCATAAGCTTTCTCCATAATTTGCTTTACCGTATGTATGGCATCTGTTGTTGACTTTCCTCTAATAAATCCGCATTGATACTGTCCCATGATATTTGTTGTCGCTTTGGCCAGTCTTCGTTGTATTAAGGTTGACATGATTTTATACTCTGTGTTTAATAATGTCGGTCCTCTATAATTATTACACATTTGTTGGTCTCCTTTTTTATGGATTGTGATAATTTGTCCTTTGTGCCATTCTAATTTATTATTAATTGGTATATTTTTTCTCTGAGTTCATGTCCACCATATTTTATTAGTTCCATGTTTATACCGTCTATACCTGGTGCTTTACCGTTGCGACTACTGTTTATAATTTCCTCAACTTCATCTCTCGTTGGTTTTTCTAGCTCGGTTTCTATCATCGTGATCTCTTCTTCCACATTTTCATTTAAGTCTTCGTCCTCTTGTACTGTTAATAATTCTTTAAAATAATTAGTCCAGATTTCTTTAAACTTTTTGTCATTTTCTGATACTTTTCCATTTCTATCCTTTATGCCTTTTATCTTTCCTTTGAAGGTTTTGTTCTGCTCGCTAATTTTCTTATAAAATGCTTTTGTGTTTCTATTTGTGTTTTCTTTTTCTATTTCATTTATCTTATCATTTAACCAGGTTCGTTTAATTTTTCTTATTTGTTTCTTACATTCTGTCCTTAATTTGTTGTATTCTTCTTTATATTCTTGTCTATTTGTTCTGATCCACCTTTGTCTTATTTCTATCTTCTTTTTGAACATATGAGAGTCTTGATTATACCATTCTTCTTTTTTGTTCTTTCTCTCTATCCCTACATGTTCACAAGCTGTTTTATTTATACATATATATTATATATATATATATATATATATATATATATATATAATATATATATATATATAATATATATATATATATATATATATATATATATATATATTTTATAAATACTACATACTTTCCCAAATAATTGTCTTTTCGAAAAAACTCTAAAGAACATTTTTGTCTTAAAATTCACAATTCTAGCGATTACATAAGAAAAGCACATTACCGTGGAGTAGATTTTGATTTTTGAGCTATTTTTTACTTACTGTCAAAAATTTGAGCAAATCTAAGCATTTAAAAAAATTGATGTTTTCTATTATTTTTACCGTCATATCCTGGACTATGTGCTATTCAAATATTATAATTAATAGATAAAACGTTTTACTGCAAAAAATATCCTAAATCTTTTTGAGATTTCAGCCTCATAATCAATAATTAAAAGCATGTTGTAATTATGCGCAGCACATTCTTTAAAATCTATATAAATCTAGATTCTGCTAAAAAAATCTGTTAAATCATCTAGAACTTCTCATGAATATTATGTATATTCTTCTGCATCCCTGAGTAAAGCAAGAACCATAAAATATCCTAACTGAAATCATTGTGAAAGACTAGGTATGTGGTTATTCTGGAAAATATTAGGGATATTAGTTGCTGAAAAATCGGCATTGAGGAGGAACTAGGAAAAATAAAAGATAATTGAGCGATAGCATTAAACAGCAATAGTGCAATAAAAAATTCATTTAATGAAAAAAAACCTACAACTAAGAAAAAATTAAAAGATTATGCAATACAGGACGAAGAACAAAGTCATTGTTACGTTAATTCGAAGACCGAACTAACTGTGCTGTTTTAAGTAGCAATAGTAGAATAGAGATCTATGAAATAAATCGGTTGTTTCATAAGGGTAAATCGTTATCGTCTTTACCTTCATCCCTATATGGGGCTATATCTTCTATATCTTCTTTTTGTGTAGGCTTCTATCTGTTTTTAAATGTGCCTTCAATAGTATGTCATTTCCATCGTTTTCGTGGTCACTGATGGTCTTTCTTTCGGGAAAAAGTCTCCCGCTGTCTTTACTATTCTATTTGATGTCGATGTCTACTCCTTCCTTCTAATCTTCTCTTTCTTACCCAGTCCTTAATATTCTCTACTTTGCATCTTCGTCGTATATATGTACTTCCAACTCTATCCCATAGTGTCTTACCATCATTTTTCTAAGGATTTTCATCTCTGCTGTTTTTAGCATTCTTTCTGTTTGGTTGTTAATATTGGTCTGACGTACGCGGCAGACAAATTTTTCCCTTATTGTTTGAGGCTTGTTATTTTCTAGGTCGTATACTCCGTTGATATTAAGGTCTTCCCTTTTCATTCTTATTTTTGTTGTTACAATACTATCTGATATATAATGACACTCCTTGATCTGATTTTTGTATCTTTGGTATATTAGTAAGGCTACACCTATTTTGACTCTATTTTCTGTAGCTACTCTACTGTAGATTCGTATATATTCACTTAATTTTGATTGTCCTTTCCTCTTTCTATTTTGTTTTCTCTAGAGTGCATATGTCTATTTGTTTTTCTTGCAGCACTTGGGTTATTTATTGGTCTCTTGTGTTGATAGATCTAATGTTCCAAGTGGTAACTCTCATCTGGGTTTTGGATATTTTTCTCTTGTCCCTATTTCTTGCGTTGCTAATCTTACCAATCATTCTCCACATTTTATCCGGGCTTACATCCACACTAGTATACAGGATTGGCCTCCCTAATTATATTTTTGCGTAAGTTTCTATCGTGGGTTATATCAACATCAGTCCCTTTCACAGGAATGTCACGTCTAATCATCTTTTTCTGTCAAACAATACACCAGCTACCTCCTTCTATTTCGTTCATTCACCTCTAATTTACATACGTATATTGTTATCAAGTATATATGCTGTAGAATTCCGTACAAATTGGATTCCATTAAACCATGATCAGATCTTTTTATGCTCATATTTCTTTTTCGAGATTTTTCCAATTGCAATTATATTTAATTATCTCTAATAACACTATCTATATTTCTCCAAATTGTATTAAGACTCCCTTTCATGTTCTAACTCATTTTACGTCCACTATTTGTTTTTGTGGTTTTTGTGAGCTACTCTCATATTTTCATTAGTTTTTTATATTAATTGAATTTCGCGCAAAACAAACTCATGTTGTTATTCTATTACAATCCTTATATTTATTATTTAAAAACATGCTACTGGTAATATATGGTCTAAAATGAAAACACAGAAAACTCAATAAAAAATAAACTACCATAATAGCATCATGAACAAAGCAATCTTGGGCGACATTTTGAATAATACTAACATAAAAGTTCATAAAAAGACCAGAAAAGAAAGATATAGAAGCTAAAAGGAAAATAAAATAACCAGCATTGGATTGCAAATTTTTATATAACTTCATTATAAAAATTGAATAATCTTAAAGAAACTAAGAAAGAGAAATAATAAAAATTGACCTTTAATAAAAATTGAATAGGTACTTTCTTTTTCATATCCTTCTTTATAAAAACTGTGTATATAATGACAAACAACCAAAAGCTTTGCATTTAGTTACTTAGTTTATGTAAATATATAGTTAAAAATGGCACTAGTAGTAGCTTAAACATTGCACAGGGTGTTCTGGCGGCCGTAGTAGAAGCTGTTGTGGGAGACAGAGATCCTGAACAAGTTAACAAGATTGCTAGACAGGCTGGTGAGGTACGTCTTTACGAAACTAACCCAAGTTCTTTAATTACTAACCCAAACTTTGTTTTATCCGAAAAACTGTTTTATATTAAGTGAAGTTGGGATGATAATACGGAATTTGATTCAAATAATTTAGGCAAAAAATATTGCAGCTGATAGTGCCACTCCTGTTTACTAATATGTATAAGTAAAAATATGGAAACATTGGTTCAGTTATTCACACAGTGAAATACGTAGACATTACTTATTTCCAATAGCCCTACAATCCTTTAAGAATTTTAGCTTTCTGCATATGCCTTAAAACGCCACGATTCATTACGGCTCGTTCCAATGGTGCTTTCCAACTGAAGTCGATACAGCTATATTTCTGATAACTCCCCATTACCACTTTTTATGGCATGATCCATTAATGCAAGTCTCGAGGACTTGACTATACTTGTTTCATTAGAGGTTGTTTAGAGATGTTTCCAATTCCTTGGTTTGGGCGAATCTTTCAATTACTTCTAGAATCTTGCTTAAGCCTCAGAATCTTTCTTAATATATTGTTTTCAAAGGTAAGGATACTTTTTTGTCCTTTTAGTGTTAGGCACCATGCCTCGCAACCGTATAATAACATTACTGGTCTTATAATAGTATTATATATTCCTAATTTTCGATTTTTTGACAGTAATTTTGATTTGAACCTTTTATTTAAAGCTCCCGCAGCCTTATTTCTCGCCGTTATTCTTGCTATTTCCTCTTTACCTTCATTGTTGCTATTCAGTATTGTGCCCAAGTACTTGAAGTCTTTATCGTATTCAGATTCTCAGAGTTATAATCTTGATAGTCTTGTCTGTGTTGAAAATCAGTCCCACTTAATGATAAATTACTAGAATGCGGTCTATTTTGCTGTCCATAATGGTTATGTTGTCAGCATATGCCAATATTTTTACTGGTTGCCACCAAATGGAATTAATGGAATTTCCTCTTATGTCTGTTACATCTACCTTACTAACAACACATTCTAGAACAATATTTAATAAAAGTGGAGTCACAAAGTCTCAGTGACCAGATTACCGATTTTGGTACTGGATTTAGGGTTCTGGACACATACTTTTGTTATATTTATCAGTTCTTGAGGAAAACCGTGCTCTGTCATTATCGTTCATAAACTTTTTCGTTCACTACTGTCGTAGGCTTGTTGAAAATCCAAGAATAGGTTGAGGACATCTAGATTTCATTATTTTTTATCAAACTTGTTTTGTATTGTTGACAACAGAGCCTACACTGTCATCATATATTTTCCATAATATTAAGTATATTTTTCCTTCCTGAGTATTTATTTCTCCCGATTTCATCTAACTTCCTATATAGCACACATGCCATTTTTATTCCTGGTCAGTTCCTCTGTTAACTGGTGCACTGCTACAGGTTTATAAAGTGGTCTTACATTCCATGGGTTGTTAGCCCTTCGTCTGACCCTCCTCCTTTACCTGGGCTTGGAAAAAGTAGTGGTTCATTATAAACCACTGGCTGGGTTACGTACACATTATAATAGTATAACTTTAACATCTACCAGGTAATTAATTCTTGGGGTATAGACGGTTTTGTGCATGCCACTTTTTTAAGACAAATGAAATAGTATTTAAAGCTTGTACTGGATATTGAAGTAATAAGCAAAACAAAACCAAAATATTGGAGAGGAGTAAAAAACAAAATTGTGGTTGTTAAAGCGCAAGAAAGAATGTGCATTCTGGGGAAAAATAGAATGAGCTGAAACATGAAAACGAGTCCTAATATAGTTTAGAGAAATATGACAAGTATTGTTAGAGATAAAGTAAATCAAGTACTTGAATAAACCATACAAAAAAAAAATTAGAAATACTGGTGATACACGGTGATAGTCAAGCGAAGTCCAAGATATAAGAAGAAAAAATCAAACTGTATAAAGAAACGCAAGAAAGTAGGTCTGGCAATAGATCTTGAAAATTTGAAGTTCGCCAAATAGACAGCGAAAGTACTTCTAGTTAAAACTAAATCAGAAGTGTATAAAGATATATAGAGTGAATTTGAAAGTTGAGAATGTTAAATCAACATAATAAGATAATAATAGCCAAACATATATACAGTAACATCAATGGTTATCAAAATAACAAACGAGGAACTTGTTCAATTATTACAAAAAAATAAATAAGGGCAAACTCGTTGGATCAGATAGTATAACTGAAGAAGTATATCCAATATAGGGAGAGGCAGGACTAAATTAGCTAACAGATTTATTTAATAGAACTATGCACATAGGACAAATGGCATATGAATGGAAAAGCAGTATCTAAGTACTTCTGTACAAAAACAAAAGACATGTTGAGAAATGCACAGACTATAGGGTCATAAAAATATATAGTTATGTCACAAAAATATGAGAAAGAGTGATTGATAGACAAAAATATTAGATAATCAGTTAGGATTTATACACGGCAGATCAACAACAGTTGCAACTTTATTACGAGTCACTATTGTAAAAATATAAGAATAAAGAATCCAATGCTGATATGGATTGAGGAACCTTGAGAAATAATGCCGATTTCACTAAATAATAAATGAGTTTCCGGTAATTGTGAGAGTTATGTATGATGGAGTAGAAACTAGTAATTGGGCAGGGGTCCAAATAATAATAGTTTTAAGTATTTTGATATTACAGGATGATAAGGAACTACATGCAAATACATGCAGTAGAATTAGATCCGGATGGATGAAAAGGAAGGAGACAATAGGTGTGTTATGTTGATAGAAAAATTCAAAGGAAACTGAAAGGCCAATTATATTAAACTGTCACAAAACATACTATGATATACAATGTTTTAACTACAAAAATTTGATACATTATAGTACTTGAAATAAATAGAGATAATGACGTGTATTATTTAAAAAAAAATGTAATTTAAACCACCATATAATATAAGAAACTTTGGATAAAATATATTTTAGATATAATTAAAAATTACATTTATTAATTTTCTAAAATAATATGTACATACTTCTTAAATTTTCGCATATTCTTAAAATTACTCCTAACAGTTCTATTCAGCTAAAACATTAATATGTATCTGTCCAGTTCATCAACATCGTGGTCAACCTTTTGGACGCCCTAAAGACCTCATTCTCCCACCGTTCCCTCCAAGCCAGAAGTCTCGGCAAGAAAGACTCAGTCAGTGATGCCGCAGTAGCAAGTCTTTCCATGATGAAAGGTTACATGAGGTCGTTGTCAACCGGAGACACCAAGTGTATGGAGAGATATGTATGCCAAGCCAACAGTGAGTGTTCAAAGAACGTCGGACAGAGTTCATTGTACTGTCATCTTGGAAGGTAAGAACATACTACTATCTTTATTTTATTATCTAAAGCACTAAAATCACATATAGGGCTTCTGAGGTCTTAGTCTTACGATCCCCCAGACACTACTACACTGATCACTAGTCAATGCAATACTGCTACTAGAAGCAGAGGACGGTTCATTTATATCGTTGATGGTGACTGGGTTTGGGTTGAGATTGGCGTCGGGTTTGGCATGGGGATTGGCGCGGGGATGGCGCAAACATTTTTGGTGGTAGGATTTTCATTAGAGGATGGCGAAGACGATATTTTCTTTATCAGAGGTCTAAATGTCGAAGGTAATCGAATGCCGTCATCTTTTTTATTGAGACAATTTGGTCTTTTTTCAATTTCTATGGTTTCTCAGATAATTCTTGGTTTATAGAAGCTGATGAAGGCTATGGTTCTGGAGTTTTCAAAATCAATTTTGTGACCTGTATGAAGATGGTGTTGTCCTAAACCTGAAATTAAATCGGAATTTCTAACAAAAATAGAATGTTTGTAAATCCTATTTTGGATTCTAAGACTTGTTTGACCTATAAGATCGGAGGCAGTCTGCAAAAGGAATTTCATGCACTCCGTGTTCATTTGGAATGTTGTCTTTGATTTATCGGAGAAGAGATGAAAGTTTTTGTCGAGTGGTAAATATTGTCTTTATTCTTCGTGATTTGAGAATTTTGTCGATTTTGTCAGTGATATCTTTGATCTAAGGAAGAAAAGCTTTCATATGATGAAGATCTGAGTCTTTAAGTTGAGATTCAGTGGAAATTGATGTCTGTGGATACTCCTATTGATGTAATTTTCGCGATAATCGTTTTAGATGAGAGCTTGTTAAAACTAGAGAGCTCAGCGGATCTACTTGCATTATCACAAAGAGGTATTGATCTGGAGACAAGGATATTTATGACTGAATTAATATGTGAAAATGGATTATGAGAGTTGGCATGCAAATAACGATTAGTATGAGTGGGTTTTCAATAAACAGGATAATGAAATTCTTGGGATTGGGTTTTGTTTATGATAACGTCGGGAAACGGTAGGGATGAATCACTTTCTATCTTCATCGTGAATTGGATACTAAGATGTAAGTATACCTTTCAGATGGGTTTGAAAAGGCACCAAAGCGTTCTTGCCGTGGGTCCAAATAACGAATGTATTATCAACATATCTTAGCCAACATGTGGGTTTGAGCATTGATGTCGATAGTTCTCGGGTCTCAAAATCTTCCATTAAGATATTGGCAATTACTGGAGATAGTGGGGAGTCCATTAGGGCACCATTTATTTGCTTGTCGAATTGATTCTGAAAGATGAAATAAGTGTTGGACATACAATGTTTAATGAGAAATAAGTGGTCTTGCTGAATACTGTATTTAGTTTTTAGAATATTTAGAGTTTCGTCTGTAGGAATGTTTGTAAATAGTAAAACGATGTCGAAACATACTAGAATATCTGACGTTGATATAGGGTATTGTTTAAGAACGATAAAATGAAAATAATTTTTGACGAACCGAACATTCCATTTCTCGGGACAGTCCCAAGGTACGGTCCATAAGAATGTCCAAAGGTACAGGATATGTCATTTCCAAAACAATCCTATTTATAGTTTAGTATTTATCAGTTTTTATTTTATATTCTCACACTTCATGTATATAGTACTTACTTTATTTTTCTGATAACTTATAAGTCTTTAAAATATTTTGCTTTTGATACAGTGCAAAATAACACTGTATTATAGCCAAACTTAACGGCGATTTTGGAGGGAAACTGCTGACATAACAACCTCTCTCTATATCGTTTATTTTCTGTGGTTTATCTAAGTTTAATATTATCACCAATAGGTGGCAGTTTATGTGTGTCCAAAGTAAATGCCGTCCCAACGTGCAGTACTCTCCCGTAAAGACGAACATCTTCGTTTTGTACTTCCTTTTGTACCATCTGCGCACCTCGCGGCTCTTCGCTTTTTTGGACTAGTGTACTCCCGTTTACATTATTTGAATTGGGGTTGTATTTTCATACGGTAAAAAATGATTAGTATCACATTCTTCAGGATATAGTGAGAAGTAAATTGTAAGAGAGCAGATGGTCCGGTAGGCTATAAACCTCATGGCTGCTCAGGGCAAAACAGCCTTTATTCCTGTCATAGCAGCTATCTATACATAAATATATATATATATATATATATATATATATATATATATATATATATATATATATATGTATATATATATATATATATATAATATATATATATATATATATATGTATATATTAATGTGATATTAAAAGTCTGAGGTGCGCCAAGCAATTAATTAGCCAATTATAAATCATTAATTAAACTTATTTAAATGATGAAATTATGATTCTATCACACTATTTAATTCTCTTATCTCAGGGTTATACTCGTGCTTCAATATCTATGCTTTAAATATGATAGGTAAGGTCCAAAGAATACCGGAATAATAAAAAACATATATGATACAACATTATATATTGCAATAAAAATATATTGAAATAAAATTCACACTTAAATATCTTCAATAAAAAAATATCTCATATAATGATTATCAAAATTTTGTTCTACGTACGTGAACCTTCAAAAATTAATGGCACATACAATATAAATTAAAATTTCAAATCAAAATTGTTGTCCTATATCTCCTGATCAAAATATTCCTATCTTTTCTAAAGCAATTGTAAAAATTGTGTTGTTAATAAAAAAAACTGACGAATAGTAAAACTATCTCTCTGATGATGAGTTGTCCATATCCTTGTTCCTTGTAGCCTACAGTATCTATTCTTAGCAGTCCCTTAGGTAATCAGCAATCTTACAACAAATTATTGCGAGCCTCTCGTCTTTAATGATCTCCTTCAAATGCACGTATCGTTCAAATTATGCTAGCCTCTTCTCCTCTCGATAAACTGAATCTCTCGTTCTGGCCTGAACAGTGACTCTTGGAATATAAGTAGAAAAGTATAACTTACAATATTTTACTGGATCAGCTTCCGTCAGATACACTAACTCCACGAAAACTCACAAACATTCACTTCTACTGCTTACTACCTCTGGGGAACCACCAGAGAACAACGATTGTTCGCCTTGTACCCTTGGAAAAAACGACTATCTTTTCTGCCTCAAAAATCTAGCTAAACTCTCATTCCTACATACCTATCCCACTTTTTCAATCTCCTCCAATAAAGCTCGTCATATTATCCCCATTTACCATTTCGATAACAAACAACAATTTTACCTACAATTATAAATTTCCTAAAAACTATTAACATGCTAATCGGTTTCTACAAATTCTTAAGAACTAACGGAGAAATATATTTTCTAAATATTTCTATTCTATTGTCTTATTCACTGTATATCGACGTACAAGTCTATTTGGAAAACCCGCTCGCATTGTTCACGATTTCACTAAGCTCACTCACGTCACTCGAATATATTTTACAAAGAAAATAATTTATGCATATCTTTAAATTTTGTTTACTACAGGTAATCCAGGATAATGGACTTTCATTTCTTCGAAATATCTTTATAGTTTATTAGTTGAATTATTAATATTTTGTACTTTGAAATATATTAAGAGCAAACCAATATTATTTTCAATTTTACATAGCTTAACAAATATATATAATATATATAATATATATATATATATATATATATATATATATATATACCATATTAATAACATCATTTATAAAAATTTAATGTTTTCAGTTACGCTATTAGCTACGTTATGGAAAAATCATTGGGATCTTCATTCGACGTCTTCTACGAAGCGGGAAGAAGAGGAAGATACGGTGATAACTGCCAAGAGAAATATTTAGAATGTAATGAAGTATAAAAACAAAACAGCATTGGACTCAGAATAACATTTTCGCGAAAAACCAATAGATAGGTACTTATTTAAACTGAACAGTGCGACTGGGAAGCAACAGTTGTACAGATTTTTAACCGTAATTAATAACAAATATACAGTGTATTTTACTATTGAATTAGTCGTATATACATGGCACCGTTCTATGGTTATTGTTTCAACTGTTGTAGCAACATAGAATGCGCATAGTGCTTTGAGTACATTTAGTTGCCGGATATACCTCTTTCAACAATAAACGCACTGTATAAGAAATTACTTTAAAAAACAGAACAAAAATATATAATTGTCTTTATTTTTTATCAAATTTTGATGTTTATCCGTTTGTGTTAAAGATCTGGTATGTTGCTTCCGAAATTAACAAAAAAAGTTGTGCAAAAGCAAATGAAATATACAAAAAATGTAATTCAACTTAAGTATTTTTTAACTAAATGAAATTTTTTAATATTGTAGTTGACACATCCTTGTAACATTTGACGTGGCATGGTACCATTGATTTTTCGTTTTGTGTAATTATTATGGTTTTGATTTTAGCATGATTAAGTATATTTATTTGCATAGCTTGTTTTGTTGTATTGTAAAATGACTGGTAAGATGTGGTGTTAGAATCCACAACGGTTTAATTTATTCGTGTTCAGTTGGTGTATGAATGTGATGATTTTAAATCGAGTGATAGACTTTTTAGTTATTTATTTTAATGTTTTTCACTTTTTTTGTGTTTGTAAAGATGTTTTGTTTTAAATATTTTGCAAATGTAGGTGTATTTATTTTAATATATATTATATTTATTAATTTACTTACTTTTACTTTTACAACTCACCTCTTATTTTCCTGATTTTCCTATAGGTAATTAATAAGCCCTCCTTCAGTACTTCCAGAGGCCTCACTCTTAGTTAGGTCCATATCCCCATATCCTCCCGTAAATCCATATGATAATTGATATGGAATTACACTTAAAAATGCTTTGAACTAAATTCTACAAAACCACATCAGTGGTTAAAAGAAACGATACGCCATGTTAATGCTCTCCATCGCATCGCCTAATATAATGTCTGCCGCAGTTGCAGACGAAAAACCAGGAATAAACAATTCAGGAACACGACATATAAAGCGTGATAATAATGTAGTTTTACAAATCTAAATTAGTTAAACTATCAAATGGGAAGTACATAGGTATTGAGAAAGAGACTAACTTTTGAGTGTCGACTTAACATTGTCCACTTGAACAAATAAACTATAACCTAACCAGAGCTGAGTGGAGGATCTCAGATTAGATATTTTGTTCTGACGTCAGATGAGCTGTAGAAATCTTTAAATTAGGTATAGTGACCGGACCAGATGGTATATTTCCTAGACTTCTTTAAGACAGACTAGGAACCACAATCCAAATATTTAGTGCAAGCCAAGCTCTGAGGTATATCCCAACGCATAGAGAATATTAGAGAAATTTCACTGCACCCATTGCAATGGGCGTATGTTGCAGGGAAGTTAGATGAAGCTGACCTGTATTTTTTAGTTTTGAGACTTGAAAGAAGCTATCCGTGTAGACATAAAATGGATTATCAATTTAAAAATAGCTAAGGGGTGCTTCAAAGAGAAGTATTATCATCAATACAAGGAAAATTCTCAAAAAAGACTATATCGATATGTTATGAACTACATTACACAGAGACATGGTCTTCTTCTTCTTATTGTGCCGTCTGCAATCAAAGGTTGGCGATCACTTCTTTAAATGCTTCCTTATCTTTTGCAATGTGAAATATCTTTTCAACACTGAGGTTAGTCCAATCTCTGATATACCTCTGCCAAGATTTCTTTTTTATTTCGAAGCCTTTTCTTCCTTCTAGTCTTCTTTGCATGACGTGCAGAAGAGAGAGTTTATGGTTTTCGAAGTACGTGGTCCAGATACGATGTTTTTTATGTTAATTGTGTTCATAAGCTTTCTACCATGTTCAATTAGTCTTAACACTGTTTCGGTTGAGACTTTTACAGTTCAAGGAATTTTTAAAATACGCCTATATAGCAACATTTCGAGAGAGACATGATAACCCGCCCAAAACTAAACTGGTAGTCTTCACGAATAGACGAATACTAGCCGGAAATAGAGCTGTCTGTTTAGGGGAACTAATTAACACTAATAGCAAAGAGTACTAAGCTTAGGTTGGTCTAAAAAAATCGATAAGAGTAAGATCGAAGCCTTAGAAATATGGGTCTATAGAAGAATTTCACTTGTGTCCAAGACAGAACATAGAACAACATGTTAATTCTGGAACAGCTTCATATAAAAAACAGTGTAACGGGATTTAATTAAGCATCCAGAAATCCGATCTAAGTAACTTAATTCAGGTTAAAAATTTAAAATCCTTTTAATAATATTAACAATTGCTTATTGCTTAGTGCGATTGTTTGTTTATGAAATTGAAAATATAGGTGTAACTAGAACACGGTTACCAAGGCGCTGACCCAGTAAAATTTTCAATATAATCTAAAGCTTATTTAATATTGTGTACAAATTATATTAGTAAAACATTATTATACAAACAAACGTGTTGAGAATGTAATACATTTATATTGTATACACAGATATATTGGTGTAAGAGTAAGCGGAACGCACCCATAGTGTCATGGGTTGACATGACAGACAATAATAGTAATGTCAATGAGTATCATGTAGTTGTAGGTAGTAGTAAGAAGTATGGTGGCTTAAGTTAGGTTAGTTAATTAGTATGTATGTTATAGGAAATAAAGCCTTTTATAATAGTAGTAAAGTACGACTATTTATTTTCCAAATCCACACCTTAACATGGTAGCAGAGGTCCGTGGTTGGAAAGTCGTACCTTTTACAACAGAAAAAGTTTGGTGCAGTTTGAAAAAAAAAAGTGTGACACATGATGGCAGGTAGTAGTGATTTTAGAATACCTATATTCGATGGGGAGAATTATAAAATGTGGAAAAAACGTCTTATGCTATTTTTGAAAATGAAGAAGTGTGATGTTGTGGTAACCAGACCGAAAAATGAAAATGATGATACAAATTGGGATGACGATGATGTAAAAGCAATGAATTATATATGCGGTGCAATATCGGATCGACAGATGGAGTACATCGACGAAAAAACTACGGCGTATGAGATGATAAAGAAATTTGATAATTTATATTTGAAAGAATCAACGGCATTGCAGATAGTATGTAGAAATAACTTGGAAAGATTAAAATTGAACAACTATGGAGACTGTGCAACATTTTTTAGTGACTTCGAAAAAGCTATAAACGAGTTAAAAAGCGCGGGTGCTAGTGTGTCTGAAAAGGAAAAATTGAACTATATGTTAAACACGTTGCCAGAGTCGTACAGTTATATTGGTGATTTAATAGATACATTAAAAGAAGATGATCAAACTGCAGACTACGTAAAAACTAAGGTTATGATGTCCGAATTAAAAAATCAAAACAATGATTTTGGAAGAAAATCCAGTACATTTGTGGTAAATAAAGGTCGACAGGATCGATCATGCTTCCAGTGTGGCGAAGTTGGTCATTTCAAGCGAGATTGCAAAAATGGCGCCAATCAAGCGTCGGGTAATGGCGGACAAACGACAAGCAGTAGAGGCTGGTGGAGAGAAACGCGAGGTCGACAAGAAGCCGGAAGAGGAAGCTACGTCAGAGGACGTGGCCACTCACGTGGACAGCGCGGAACGCATGGAACAAGTGCACAGCGGTTCAACCGACAAGGACAGAAGAACGAAGAGCGAAACAGTGCTTCTTGGCTTACAACAGTAGCTCTTGGTAAGGATATGTCAGTTATTGCACAAAATACTGAAATAGGTAATGTAAATAATTGTATTGAAATAAAATGGCTTTTAGATAGTGGTTGTACAGACCACATTATTAATGATGAAAAATTATTTGATAAATGTAAATTACTTAAAGATCCCATTAATGTTTATTTAGGAGATAATAGGGTTGTAAAAGCTACTAAAATTGGAAATGTTTTAAGTTACTTTGATGCTTTTGGTAAAAAGAGTTTAGTAGATATGCAAAATGTTTTCTATGTTAAAGATATGAAATCAAATTTGATAAGTTATAGCAAAATAACAGAAAATAATAAGATTATTTCTCTAGGTAATATTTCAAAAGTTTTTGATAAACTTGGTAATATAACAGCAGTTGCTTTAAAAAATAATGGCTTATATATTATGAAAAGTAAATTAAAATCAGTTGAATTGCATGTAAATGTTGCAAATAAAGATATGAATAATATGAATCAAAAGGAAAAATGGCATCGTTTATTAGGTCATGTAAATTTTAAATATTTGAATATTTTATCTAAAGATCAGCTGTTGAATGGAATTCCTAATGAGTTTGAATCTGAATTTATGAAATGTAAGATTTGTATTGAAAGTAAAATGCATAATATTCCGTTTGTAAACAGTAGAAAAAAAGCTAAAGATATTTTAGAGATTGTACATACTGATGTTTGTGGGCCTTTTCGAACTACTGGGTTTAAAGGTGAAAATTATTTTGTTTCTTTCATTGATGATTATAGTAAGATTTCTAAAGTATATGCTATAAAATCAAAAGCAGAAGTATGTGATTGTTTGAATGAATATACGAATGAAAGTGAAAATTTGACTGGAAAGAAAATAAAGATTTTAAGATGTGATAATGGGAAAGAATATTTGAACAGTAAAGTCTACAGATTTGCAAAAGAAAGGGGTATAGTAATTGATAATTGTCCTACATATGTACATGAATTGAATGGGACTGCAGAACGGTTTAATCGAACTATAATGGATATGTCAAGATGTTTGTTGGCTGAAGCAGATATTCATAAAAAATATTGGCCTGAAATAGTTTGTGCTGCGGTTTATTTGAAAAATCGTACTTTATCTGATACAATTGAAAAGAAAACTCCATATGAAATATTTTTTGGACAGAAACCTGATGTTTCTAATT